CTCTCCCAGGAGAGGGGGAGCTGCAGGGGCAGGAAGGGGATGTTTGAAGGCAGAGCTGTTGGTGCAGGCTCCGGAGATGTTGGTTACCCCAGGCCACTGCCTCCTCCCCTCACTGCTGCACCCAGGGTGATGGTACCGGCCTGCCGCAGGGCAGTCAGTGTTGAGGTGACAGGTAGGAGAGAGAGGGATCAGAGAAGGGATGCACTTCGTGTGCTGGGTCTGGCTGCGAGCAGGCAAGCAAATGGGTGAGCGACTGCAGAGTGTGCGTGATGGGTCTTTGAGATATACAGTGTGTCTGCGTGGTGGGTTTGGGGGGGAGACCGGGGGATTAGCATGGGGGCAGGTCTGGTTCCTTGTGAGCACTGGGCTGTGGCAATTGCCGTATGGGCTGAGCATTGCCAATGTGGGGGCAGCTGAGGGAGAGGAACCAGGTCGGTATCGGGGACCCTCTGCCAAGAAACTCTTCAGAGAAAGGCGCTAAAGTACAGTGTGCACCTGCAACCCTCAGTGACACACACACACACACACACACATCTCTTCTCCTGCACGTTCCTCCTCGGCGGTGTGCCAGGCTGGCACATCGGTCTGTCACTTGTGTCTCACTGCCTTATCCGTGTGCTACTTGCCAGCCTGTCGCAGACTTCCAAAATGCCTCGCTCTTGACTCAGTGGCCTGAACGATTGCTGTTAACGTAGCTGCGCTAATCAGCTGTTGTAGTACGTGCATGTGGCATTTGATGTCTTTGTGCTGTGTGTAGCGTGAAGGCTCAATAAACGTCTGCAGCATGCGTAACTAACTGACTAACCGACTGTCCTGATTTAACTCCACCCCAGCTGATGCCATGACACTAATTCCCTTCAGGGGTGATGCTCTGGTCCTTTGCCTGCCCGGGAGGTGCCGCTCTGGGTGCACGCCCAGGGCCCCGGGGTGCAGCCGGGGGGGGTGTCCGACAGATCGGGCCTGAGCCGTCCAGCGCAGTGCGCTTTGTGCCCTTTATGGCCGTAGTGTGGACAGGAGCACCTGGATGGCGCAAAAGGGATGGTTGGGGGGGGAGGGCGGTGACTCACTGACGCAGTGTGGGGGTACATG